AGACCCCTCCCCCACCAGTCAATCAATCAATCAATTAATCAATCAACAAAAAAAAAAAAATTCGAGATATATGGTTCCTAAGTTTACGTGTATTTTTTTTGGAAATGAATATCTGTTGTTTGCAGGGAAATGAGATGTTAAAAAAAAAAAAAAGAAGTTACCCCCCTTTTTTTCTATTTGTTTAATTTTTTTTTTAGTCATCGAAACCCAGCCCCCCGTTTTTGAAGTTCTTATGTTTTTTTTTTTGCGAGGAGGTAGGGGACCCCCTCCCCACTCGAAACCCGTTTTTTTTTTTTTTTTTTTTTTTTTTTAATTATCGGCCGCGTTTGGCCGCGGCTGGGGGGGGCTGACGGTACCCTAGGAATGGGATGTGCGCAGCGGAGACCTAGTCTATGCAGGGTAAGCATAGTACTTGAGTGCATAGTCACACTCGCACTATCTTAAAATATCCGCACTATCTTAAATATCTGACCGCATTTATGACCAGACCTGTATGCATCTGCCCGCAATTCTGTCCAGAAATAGGCAATGAAGTGTGCTAGTGTGAGTGTGCGCATGCCGCCCCATTCCCCTCCTCTGTGCCATCATCCCGTCCTCTCCCTCCTCCCCAGCAGTGCCAGCACCCTTTGCCTCCTCCTCTTCCTCCTCCTCTTCGTCATCATTGCCACCATCCTCCTCCTCCTCCTTTCTCTTGTTTTTTTCTCCTGTCTCATTTCGCGTACCATTTTGTCTCTCTTTTTGAAGTTTTTTCTTCTTCTCTTTAGTCGACAACAGTACCTGAGGACACGGACCCACGCACCCTGCCCGTGTGGCTGCATGGTGCACTACTACACACCCATATAAATGTTGATAATACAGGCCCAGAGCCCCATATAGAGCCCCATATAAATGTTGATAATACAGGCCCAGAGCCCCATATAAATCCTGGTAGAATCAGATGAATAGAATAACCAGGGCTACACCGGATCTCTGCCCCATATAAATGTTGATAATACGGCCCCAGAGCCCCATTGAAACAATTTTCACCTTTGGCAGTAGCCGATGCAGATCCCAGGGGTCGATCCTTTGACCTCAGCTTACCTGTGTACAGTATCTGCACAGTTCCCTGGAGTTGAACCCGTGACCTGCACGATAGCCAGTTTTAAGTAGGTCGCCGTAGGTTGTAGGCTGTAGGGAGATTCGAACTGTAGACCTGTAAGGTAGGAGTCCAAGTAGAGTCCAGAGGCCTAGCTTTAGT